GCTCGAGAACAAGCAGGCCTTGAACCGTTCGTTGAAGAGACGAAAGATGAAGCTAAAATGCCAATAACGAACGAAAAATACATCGAGGCGGTTTGCAAAGCCATGCAGGGGGCAAGTGGGCTTCGTTTCGCCTGCTAGTGCCTTGCATTGTGTCCTTGTCTCTTTCATACACCGATTGTCCAGCTGTGTGGGTCTATCTTTGGCACTGGTTGCAGGCAAAGCAGCATTTGACTCACTTGCTTGCCTTCGTTCGTGCTCAGGTGGAAACAGTGGATAACGATGCGGAAAACATCAGGCGCAGCGGCACCTATGCGTACGCACCTCAGACGGATTCTGAGAAAGGGTGCGCTGCGGCTGTCTCCTATTGGAAAGAAGCCCACGTGAAGCTTGGGAATCTACCACCCGTGTATGAAGGAAATACAGATGTGTATGCGGAAAGCCGAAGCCGCTCACTTGTAGCCCTGTACAGCGCCAAAGACGACGCCACCATCTCCTGCGCGTACATCACTTGCCCTGTCTCCATAACGAACACCACCACAGTTAGTACCCCAACAGAGCCAACTGATGGTGGGGAGGAAGAAGAGGAAGACCCACCGAATGAAGAGACTCCTCCCTTAGGTAGGGAGGGAGAACCTGAAAGCCAGCCGAAAACCGGGCCGACAGCTCGGCGCCTCTCCACATCCTCGGAGACTATTACCGGCCTTGTTTGCCTCACCAATCCTCCAGCTCTTGTACAAGGAGAAAAACCCTTCTCGTACGCATTTTTGAATATGCTGTCTGGTTTCACTCTTGGCTGCATCTCCTGCCTCAGTGCTGTTTCTCTTCGTTGGTGCACGCATTGTGGGAACGCTTCATTTTATCTGCTGTTTGTATTTACTTCGCCTGCTGCAGTCGCATGCTAACTTTATTGAACGCGTTTTCTGTGTGGGTTCTCGCAATCTACTTGGATGTTGTTGCTCCATCTATGCTGTGTCGTTATGTTTATGTTCTTTTCTCGTTCCTCCCCGCTTTCCATCAATGCTTCTGCGCCTTCCAAGTAATGCTTACTTGTGCGCTGTTTTTTTTGCCTGCCTGTGCGTCACTATTCGGCCCCTCTCGGATTCGTCTTTATCCCTTTCATCTCTTTATTCATACACCAAGTTGTATCCTTCCATAATCTGTTATACGACTTTCTCTGCTTTTGTTGCCTGCATGAGCTTTCCTGTTAATCACATGCGGCCGTAATGCTTGGTTTTGTGTGTTGTCAATGTATAAGGGGATTGCTTCTCGCTTCTGTTATGTGTGAACGTCTGCACAGCGAGGAGGTTTGGGCGGGCATAAAGGAAGCCATAGAAAACTCCGCTTCCGCCTCAACGCAGTCTGCTCTCCTTGTTACCGCTCTACTCGTGTTCACTCCATTCATCATTCTCTAGGCAGCGTCAGCGAGCAAACGCCATGTTATGCTTTTAACCGCAGCTGGCATACTAGGGCAACTGAATTTCCCCCAGTGTTTGTAGAATGTGCAGAAAGTATAGGTTTCTTTGACCCCGTAGACTGGGGCTCTCCGCAGAGAGGCGGCATTAAACGAAGTTCCTCTCACCGATCTGCATTTTAGCCAGTAGCCGCAGCATGGCTATTTATGTTTGCGCGGCTCTTTCTTGAAACCGATGAACCGCTTCAGATGCAAGTCCTCAAGTCTATGACTTTGTATTCTAGCTGGACACGGATGGAGACAAATGTAGGATAACAAGAGTCCAATAGAAACCCCGAAAAGGGTTTCTTGAGAGAGTCCCCCACTGGATCACTGGCCCAGCTAGAGTTTGCCAACTCTACTGTTCATCGTTTGTTAAAGAATAAAACGACGCTAAGAAAGCTCGTACCAAACTAGACAAGCTTTCCGGCTATGGTGCACGGCGTGCAACTACTCGCGCCTTCCAAGTGATTACCCATGGTCCTATTCTCAGCAGGCTGCGTTCCCAGCGTAATGCACCATGTTCTGTCCTGATTTCGCAGCTACGATTTCCAGTACTGGTACTGGGGGCTATGCTGTGGTGTACGGTGACTTCGTCGTGCTCGACGTTTCGTTCTTTGCGCATTGCATATGACCTCACGAAGCGGCTGAACACCGGACGAAGAGGTCAAACTGTGCCTTGCCTCATGTAAGAAAGGAAGCCCATAAAGTAGACGTTATTGTGTGCCACAAATTGCGTCAAAGCCTGGTGCTCGTCACTCCACTTTTCTCCTGAGCAAAGGAAGACGGCTCGTAAGCACAAGCAAGACGATCGTACCGCTGTCAATCCTCACTGAAATTTATTTCATCTGAGCTAAAATTCAAATTTATCAATTTCCTTAATGTGAACAAATTTCCGCTTTCAGTGTAGAAAGGGTCGCACGCGTCGAGCAAGCAACTTTTGCCGCT